ACCATGTTTGCCACGTTCCTTTGCAGAGTGCACTGACCTAGTGTGCAGGTGCTGTGTAAGGTCCAAGTAGTGTCCTGTGAATACGCTGCGCGTGTGCGTCAGTCAGGAATGCATTGAGGTCTGCCATGCTGGACATGGGTCAGTGCTCACTGCGGCATGGTGCACGTGTGTGAGAAGCTGTTTGATGTCCACCTCTGTTCACGGCCTCATTTCACTGCTTGATGGCTGAAGGCCGAGTGGTGCTGGTTGGTGTCCGTGGTGTGAAGATGAGAAGAGGGCTGGAGCAGGAGCATGAGGCACCTATGGCCATCCCACCCTGGTAACGCCTGATCTCGTCCGATCTCGGAAGCTAAGCTGGGTCAGGCCTGGTTAGTACCTGGATGGGAGACCTCCTGGGAATACCGGGTGCTGTAGGCTTTTGCTGCCGGCCTTTTCTATCCCTCTGGACCCAAGGGGTCCCGCTGGCTGGAGCAGGCACCAGCTTGTGTGGTTGGGGGCATTGTTCCGCTAAGCTCATTTTGAGACTCTCTGGAGTTAGTGTCTCTTTGGTCTTTTAACTGGTGTTGCAATTCTTTCTTATCCCATCCCCTCCCCTCCCCAGTCTGCCCTCCACTCCCCTCCCCCATCTGCCCTCCACACCCCGCCCCAACCTCCACCCCTTCCCTTCCCTTCCCTTCCCTTCCCTTCCCTTCCCTTCCCTTCCCTTCCCTCCCCTTCCTTCGCAAATATGCCCTGGATTGACTGAGCAATCTGCAGTGCTTAGGTATTTGTTTCAGCCTGAGTTCTGCCCTATGCAGATCTATCTAATCACTAGGTTTCAGTGCAAGTCTTCATTCTCCGTCCCTTTCAAACACTCCCAAGAAATGTCAGGATGGGTTTCAGCAGGAGTGGGGGTTGAAGTGCTGGCCATGAGCAGTTGTTATTTACTCCATGTCCATCTTTTATGCTTACGCTCAATTCTATTTTCTTTATATTGGAAACTTTCCACTGTAACAAGTGTGGCACTGAGCTTACTCTCCTCACTCCCATTTGGCCGAGCTGGAGACATTTATTTTCAGTTAATATTTCATTGCCAATAGGCTCTTCCTTTCCTTTCCCTTCCCTTCCATGCTTCTTGAACTCCTTCCAGTTCACCTTTATTGGTACTGAAAGTACTTAAATTTGAAAGCAGCAGTCGAGGTGCTATCTCATCAGTATTGTGTACTGAGAGAGACATCTATCACTTCCTGGCTATCTGACACGATGCCTCTGTGTTACAAGTCCAAAAATTACATTGGATTTTTTTTTTTTCTTGGTCTCACTGCTGGATCTTATTTAATTTACTGAAGCCCATACATCCAAATCTATATGTTGGTAGGCACGTATATTACACCTACTGTGTTCCCTTCAGTCACCACTTTGCAATTACAGGAAGAAAAAAATGCCTGTGTGTGCCTTTCTTCCCTTCTTTATAAATCCATGCTGTTTATTGGCTGCGGATCCATTTTCCCCTAAGTGCTCAGGACTTTTACCTTTTAATATTTTCCCCGCTATATTACTGCAGCCTGAAGTTAGGCTTACCAGATGGTAGATGACAGGATCGCTCTTTCTCTTCCTCTTCCCCTGCCATTTTTAAAGACCAGTAACACGTTCCCCTTTCTTTTCAGACTTTGTAGAGCTCACTAATTCTCCACAAATGCTTTAAAATAATTGTCAGTAGTTTGGATAAGTTCATTAGTGAATTCCCTTCTCTCCTTATGAGGCACATCCTACGGATATGCTCAGTTTCACATACTCAGTTTCTTCCCCCTTCAACCTTTCTTATGACCTTCTCTCAACAATTCTTGCTACATGGATTTCTTTTCTGATTGTGCTTTATTTTTCTTAAAAAAGCAATTCAGTATATTTGCTAACTTAGCATCATCACCTCTTTTGTTCCCTTCTTCGTAGAACAACAAACATCTTTTATTCCTAGCAATTCCTTTCCCCTTGTAATTAAAAGCTCATCTACAATCTGGACACATCTACATAGTTGTACCGAAAAATACAGGTGCTATTGCTAGCAACTCTGTTACACTCTATAAATAAGGTAATTTTATAAGTTTAATAAGTTATCATGGACATAAAATATAAAAATGTGCTGAAATACAGCTCAGAAAGAGTAAAAATCCATATATTTAACAGAGAAAAATGATTTAGTTTTCAGATTCTTCCTATATTTCAACTATTTTTGAAATAAGGTGTAAGCTCTTTTCTCATTAAGCACTTCTGTCGCCATGCTAAGTAATAAGGAAGAACAAAAGATTTCCTTCCTGGATTACTTTGTTGAATTCACACTTTAATCGCCAGGTAGATGATGTTTTTCAAACACACTCAGATGTCTGATTGTCAGCTTTATGTCTCGGGAAGCATTCCCAGCAATTCGGGTACAGTAAAGTATCTACCTCGAGCAAGCCTCTGTGTGCTATATAACTTTTATAGTCATTATAAAAAGTAATTTATTGAAAAAACTTAAACCTTTTCCAACTCAACTGACTTTTGATTTAAAGGTGTGAGCTCCTGGTTATGGAAATCAGGTGTGGTAGGTGCTTTTTTCAGAATTAGGTTTGCTGTTTATATCATGAAGTTTAGAAGCTACAAGAGTAACATCCTCTAAAACATAGCACGTTCACAGAAACTGGGATATCTCAGCTCATGTTTCATGGTTACGCTGCCTGGAATTGCACATAATCTGAGGTAGGGGAACTTTTCCCTTTTTCACATCACATTTCTTCTCCTGGGTACTCTTTTTATTTTCCTTTACTGTAGTATAATCCAGTGATTCTGGCTGCAGACTGGTTTGGGGAAATGGCATGTAACAGAAGAGAGGAAGTAACATCTCACTGGTATCTGACTGTCTTTGTCCTTCTGCCTCTCATTTTCTTTCTGTATTTTTTTTTCATCTTTCTCTTCCTTGCTTGCTTTTGCTCTCTTGATTCCTTGTGTTCTTTCTTCATATACCATATGGCCATGCTTCATTTTGAGATGGAACAACCCTGTTTTCTAAGTGACAATATCCTTTAATAACAGCAGAGATCACGACCAGGAAGAGAGTTCCTTGTAACAGTGCCTAGCTCTGATTAGCACTGTGACACAAGCTCATGGTGCTTTTGAGCCAAACCATTGCGATGGGATTTGAGTTTGCAATTTGATCCAGGGATGAGATCAGCCAGCTTCAGCCCTGCTTCTACCATGGGCTGTGTGTGGGCAGAGAGCTGCTGCTGCAGACTGGAGGATCCCACCACACTGCAGCCACACCAAGGGAAGGACCAATGTCATTTATCAATGACGTAGACGATGGAACCTAGTGCACCCTTAGCAAGTTTGCAGATGACAGCAAGCTGAGCTGTGTAGTCAATACATTGGAGGGAAAGGAAGCCATCCAGGGGGACCTGGACAGGCTGGGGAAGTGGGTCCATGTGAACCTAATGAGGTTCAGTAAGGCCAAGTGCAAGAACACCCTGAGAGCAGCCCTGTGGAGAAGGACTTGGGGGTCCTGGTGGATGAGAAGCTGGACATGAGCCAGCAGTGTGCGCTTGCAGTCTGGAAGGGCAACTGTGTTCTGGGCTGCTTTAAAAAAGGGGTGGCCAGCATGGAGAGGGAGGTGGTTGTCCCCTTCTACTCAGATCTTGTGAGGCTCCATCTGGAGTACTGCGTCCAGACCTGGGGCCCCCAGTACAGGAAGGATGTGGAGTTCTTGGAGCGGGTCCAGTGCAGGGCCACTAAGATGATCAGAGGGCTGGAGCACCTCTCCTATGAGGAAAAGTTCCTATGCAGGAACTGGGCTTGTTTAGCTTGGAGAAAAGAAAGCTCTGGGGAGACCTCATTGTGACCTTCCAGTACTTGAAAGGAGCTTATAAACAAGAGGGGGAATGGTTGTTTACGATGGTGGATAGTAATAGGACAAGGGGGAATGGTTTTAAACTGAGACAGGAGAGGTTTAGGATAGATATTATGAGGAAGCTTTTCACTCATAGGGTGGTGACACATTGGAACAGGTTGCCCAAAGAGGTTGTGGATGCCCCATCCCTGGAGGCATTCAAGGCCAGGCTGGATGTGGCTCTGGGCAGCCTGGACTGGTGGCTGGTGACCCTGCCCTGCAAGAGGGCTGAAACTAGATATCATTGTGGTCCTTTTCAACCCAGGCCATTCTATGATTCTATGGAAGAAGAACAGTGAGGCACGGGCAGGTGAGGTGGCAGCCTTAGGGTTGCTCTTCACTGTGCTGGTAGCTTAGTCCTTTGGAATAAGGGCAGAGGACAACATAGAAAAAAATCCCAGAGCACTACAGCTCAGCTTTTAGAGAAACTTCGGCTTATTCAGAGCATTTTGTAGCGCAGCTTCAGATACCCAGAAATGCTCAGGTACTACAGAGCTGACGCACCGCTTCCTTTCTGAGAGTAAGGACAAGTGACCAGTCAACGCTTGAGGGCTGACAGAAGCACTTAGCGTCCTTAGCCCCTCCTTGGGCTGTCACAGAGACTTACTGTTGTTTCCTCTGCAGAGTTATTGGTTTATTCCAGGAGAGGGCTGCTGGAGGCAAGGATTCCACAGACCTGCAGGCTGAATCCACCAAGGTGACAGTCATCTCTCAAGAGGCAAGTCTGCAGTGAGATCTAAACATATTTCAGACTTATTCACTCCATGACGGTCCAACTTCTCTTGCTGACCATCCGTTTGGACAACAATTTGATTTATTTGAATTCAAATGGGCATGAAAACAAACGACGTGGCCTGAGGCAAGACTAAGCACCTAATTTACAGAATGTCTAAGATTGTAGCTAGGGACTTGTGAGCTATTGAGGCACTCAAGGAAAGGGCACAGGCAGCCTCTTCACATCTCAGCCCTGTACGTGCCTCTACATACAGCATGACACTGGGTTAATGCTAGAAATTAATGCAGGAAATTCCTAATGCAGGAATTGGGATTACAGGCTGGATCGCTGGACTGAGGCCAATGGGATGAGGTTCAACAATACCAAGTGTTGGGTCCTGCACTTTGGCTGCAACAACCCCAGGCAATGCAGTCTTATGGCAGAGTGACTGGAAAACTGTGTAGAGGAAATGGACCTGGGGGTGTATGTTGATTCTCATCTAAACATGAGTGTGCCCAGTGCACCAAGAAAGCCAATGGCATCCTGGTCTGTATTAGAGGTATGTTGCCAGCAAGATCAGGGCGGTGATCATCCTTCTGTACTCAGCACTGGTGAGGCTAGATCTGGAGTACTGTGTTCAGTTTCGGGCCTCTCACTACAAGAAAGACACTGAGACCTAGGAGTGTGTTCAGAGAGGGCAACAAGGCTGGTGAGGGATCTGGAGCACAAGTCTTATGAGGAGAGGCTGAAGGAGCTGGGATTGTTTAGTCTGGAGAATAGAAGGTTCTGGGAGACCTCATTGCT